ACCATTTGGGCAGATAAAGGCAGCCCGAATCCTCACTGAGAGAAGGACCATTCCTATCAGGAAATGGGGTCGGGGACGCAGCTTTGCCTCCACCTGGGCCCCTGGTACTTCATCACAGAGAACAATTGGCCTCTATAGGGGCTCAGCTTCCCAAGTGTCTTCATCTCACAGATCTGCAGACAGCTTCTGCTTTCCATTTGCATAACCAAGTGGTTCCGCTGGGACAGAGCAGTGGACACACACCAGTGTTGTGGGCAGGAGGGTTATGGGCCTGTGAGAGGGTGGCCCTGCCATTTATGGGGACAATTACACCAGGCCACAGGTGTAAGCAGGGGGCCCCGGGCCCACAGGAACAGACGATTGTCCTGCTAATGGGCCAGATGTAGTGTGTTTTGCTTTTTGTTTTGTGGTTGTCATTGTGTTCTTCGAAAAACTGAGCCAACACTATAAAACCAAACATTTCAAATAAAAATCCAGATTTCTGGATCTTCTGGAAAAATTAAGGCGATTACTGCTACCAGTCCTGCCTCACAGCAGCAGTGTCGCGGGTGCCTGCCCTGCGGGGCCATCCCACCTTCTCCCCCCGTCCCCCCCAACCCTCCCGGCACCCAGCAGGCGTGTCCATGGGTAGTCATCATGCTGGTCCCCTTCCCCAGTTTAGGCCATCAGCCTGCCCTGTCCTGAGTCTGAAACCTCAGGGGTGAGGAGAGGACGCTGGCCCCCTCCTGAGTCAGAACCTCAGCTCAGAGCCAGGACGGGATCACCTGATCACACTGCTATCCAATTAACCACTCTTTCCCAAGGAATGCTCGTGCCATTCGGGAAGAAACTTTCCCCGTGCCTATGCCAGGGACCTGGACTAGCAGTTTCTTGTCTTTCATCTGGATTTGCCAACTGTGTGTTTCCCCTGGAAGCTTGGCACCCACAGGGGATGTTCTCCCCATGGTGCCCACAACCCCACAAGCTGGGGCTGAGTGTCTGACACAGGTGAACTTCAGCACCAAGTCCCAGTACTACTTTGCCTGGGATATGTGTCCACAGGCATAGCGTTTGCCCCCAAGGGTATGCAGTGTTCTTCGGGGTTCTCTCCATCCCCAGTGTTCAAATGTCCCAGCAGCGTACACTGGGAACTGATTTTTTAACACGGTTTTCTTCTATAGATGGCCTTGTCTTGTCACAAGTATTGTTTCTTTAAAAAATATATTTTTATTGATTTCAGAGAGGAAGGGAGAGGGAGAGAGAGATAGAAACACCAATTCTGAGAGAGAATCATTGATCGGCTGCCGCCTGCATGCCCCACAATGGGGATCGAGCCCGTAAACCAGGCTGACCTCCTGGTCGTAAGTCGACGCTCAACCAGTGAGCCACACCAGCTGGGCACAAGTATTGTTTCTTACTGTTTTAAAGGTGAGCTTACCAAGAGAGCAGGTGCAGCCAGTGCGCCCCAGGCAGCAAGCTCAGGGAGGCCCCTAAAAATCTCCATTATTTAAAAATTTTAAAACTATATGAACAAACTTAGAGATTCCAAATTTTCAGACTAAAAACTAAGATAGCATTATTCTAAAAAGACTTCCTTTACATGATCCAATAACAAGAAAATTGCTTGGCATCTTACAAAACTTAAAATGTGATCTAATTAAGTGGTATTTTAAGAGCGTTAAAAGGCACCTGAATGTCTGTGTTTTGTCTTTAGTTGGGAGCAAGCGTGTTTCCTGTTTCTCGGCAGGGACGAGGAGGCAGACAGAAGACAGGGAGGCAGAGGAGGTGAGCGCACATTTCTTTAGGCTAAAAATGATTACATTTTCAGGCAAAGCTCTTCCTAATCCAAGACAGAGAAGGGTTGGGTCATATAGACAGATGACCTCGATGTCAAAGTTTTGCTTTATTTTTGGTTTAATTGATTTTATTTTAAATGTTTGAATATCATGCAAAATAAAATCAATGCCACCCCTGAAAATACTTCTAGTATGCCCGGCCCAGCGTGGTTCAGTGGTTGAGCGCCTACCTAAGAACCAGGGGTCATGGTTGGATTCCCGGTCAGGGCGCATGCCTGGTTTGAGGATTTGACCCCCAGTAGGGGAGTGTGCTAGAGGCAGCGGATCAATGATTCTCATCATTGATGTTTCTCTCTCTCTCTCTCTTCCTCTCTGAAATAAATAAAAATATATTTTTTAAAATATTCCTAGTATGGAAGAAATGATGGTCTTGCAGACCTTCCCCCTCTCCCCACCCCATCCATCTCTCCAAGGACCACCCAGAGCTAACCCTGGAACCTTTTCCGGTGATGCTGATTTACACATCATTTAACTCTTTTAAACTGGAGCGCGGTGCCCTGCGCACGGGCATCTCTCAGAAGCTTTCTGCCCCTGGGTTTTCCATGGAATCCGAGTGCAATCTCGTCTCACTGCCCTTCTGCTCTGGTCATAGAGCGGAAAGCAGGCCCTGGTGGACGTGGGAGGCTGCCCTGAGGCTCCAGTTACAGGCTGAGGGGCCTGTAGGAGGAGGAGGGCAAGGGGGCTGAAGAGAGCGCTTTCACCAGTTCAACATTGATGTCCCAGGGTCCTGGGCGGGTCCACTGTCCTTGGAGCCAAAGTTAAAGCAGCAAGTGCAGATGGAAAAGTGACCATTGCATTTCTCAGCAGAAAATAGGGATCATTATTCGAGGAGGAAGAAATCTCCTGATTTAAGATGGAATTCGTAGCAACAACTGTTTTAGTCACACTGGAGAAGCTCAATATAAACATCTTAAGTTAAAAAAAAAAGATATATAATTGGTACATGCAACAAGATCCCAAATTGTTGAATTCAGCTTCTATATAGGTCTATTTCTTGGTAGGTATTCAGTCATAAATAGAAGAAACCCAAATTGAAATATACCAAAATGTTAGCAAATTTACACTTTACTTTTACCTATATTTTTCCATTTACTGCAGTGAAAACGCACTTCTTTGGTAGTAATATGTTTATATGAAGACAAAGATAGGAGGCTATACTGAGATAACTGGCTGGCCTTTTGGAAAGAGGGTTCATTCTAGGGCTACTAACCGTGGGAACGCAGGCGCCGGATGCCAGGAAGGATGCTTTAGATTCAGGTTCCCAGGAAGGATGATGAAATATTTCCAAAGAGCCCTAAGTGAGTCCTCAGCTCCGAGTACAATCTGATAAGTGAGGTTTGGGCTGAAAATGAAAGTTTTATCCCCTATTTTACCCCATGGGAGAGAGAACTTGTACAGTGGCTTCATCAAGTGCTAGATGCCTTTTAAGTCCTGGGGTGCAGGGGGCTTGAGGCTGCCTGGAGCAAGGGGAAGGGTAGCTCCCAGGGTGCGGGGAAGCCCAGGGCGGGGCGGCCACTCCCGAGGGGCGGGGTGAGCCCAGCGCAGCAGCGCCAGAAGCCTGAGAGCCCCTCTGTCACCACAGCCCAGGCTCCTGTGCGTCTTCTCCAAGGCGCACTGCGTTCTTCCCGGGCCCTCACATTAGCGCCATTCGTCAGTATGTGCAGCTCCCCCTCTGCTCTGTAGCTGGGAACATGGCTGCGGCTTGGTGCATGGGCCTGACAGGAAGAGGAGCGTCATTTTGACATGGTAGATCTTTACACTGACCGTAAGGAAACCCCTCTTTAGCTCCGAGGCTGTCTTTTCCTCCAGAGGGACGGAGCCCCTTTTCCCTCGGCCCTGCCTCCACTGGGCCCTCTTCAGAACAGCCTGTGGACTGGCTAATGCAAAAGGAGGCAGGTCATTTTCTTGTGTGATAGGAGAATAACTGAAGATTTTAAAACATATATTCTCTATTGATTTCAGAGAGGAAGGGAGAGGGAGAGATAGAAATATCAATGATGGCCCTAGCTCAGGGGTGGGCAAACTTTTTGACTCGAGGGCCACAATGGGTTCTTAAACTGGACCGGAGGGCCGGAACAAAAGCATGGATGGAGTGTTTGTGTGAACTAAGATAAATTCAAAGTAAACATCATTACATAAAAGGGTAGGGTCTTTTATTTCAATAGTTTTATTCATTTCAAACGGGCCGGATCCGGCACGCTGGCCGTAGTTTGCCCACGGCTGCCCTAGCTGGTTTGGCTCAGTGGATAAAGCATCAGCCTGCAGACTGAAGGGTCCCAGGTTCAATTCTGGTCAAGGGCACATGCCCAGGTTGCAGGCTTGATCCCCAGTGGGGGGCGTGCAGGAGGCAGACAATCAATGATTCTCTCTCATCATTGATGTTTCTATCTCTCTCTTCCCTCTCCCGTCCTCTCTGAAATCAATAAAAATATATTAAAAAAAGAAAGAAATATCAATGATGAGAGAGAATCATGGATTAGCTGCCTTTTGCAGGCCCTACACAGGATTGAGCCTGCAACCTGGGCATGTACCCTGACCGGGAATCGAACCATGACCTCCTGGTTCCTAGGTCAACACACAATCACTGAGCCATGCTGGCCAGGTGAATAACCAGAGATTTGGCTTCAGGTAATTGTCTATTAGCATTTATGTAGGATTCCATTGGGAACAAGAAATAAACCTGTAGGATTAGCCAGGTTTCCAAATATTGAAATTGACTGTTAGTTCAGATTTTCAAAGGCCGCTATTTTCCCTCCCCACCCCACCCCCACCCCCATCCGTCTTTAATTTTGCCTGTTCCTAGCGCTTTGCTAACTATAGGATGGAATCCCTGATGCTTCCGGCGGCTGTGCTTTATTAGTAAGAGACGACGCTTTGGTATGAGATTGCATTTTATTATTTCCTTCAGCTCAACATGTACCTGATATTGGAGGGCCTCCCTATGGGTTCGGATTGAGACACACAGCAAATGGTGTGGTTTGATTGCAGTGTGGACCCGTTTCCCTGCAGCCAGGTGCGCAGCCCTGTGCAGGCGGAAGGACAGTCTGGAGTTGCCTCGTTCTGAAGGGGGTGCTGGCGTCCATGGCCCAAATTGCTGCTTTTGTTTGCATCACCGAACGCCTGAGGCAGTTGCTGTTTTGACTTGAGGTGCCCGTTTCCACGAGATCAGTAGGCATTTAGCACGGCTATCCTGGCCTCTTGGCACAGAGGGTCTAGTTTACCATCACCTCCTAGGGAAACAGATAGACTTTTCTTGTGACCAGCTTTATATGCAATTTAATGTCACATAAGACACACGTATGGCTTCCACTAGGAGAGCATTTTCTAAGTACACGGGCACGGCACTGCTTAGTTGGTCTGCATTAGTGGATTGCAAAAGCGTTTACTTCTGAGCAGAGTGAGGTATGCCTGATACCAGCCTGCCAGGCCAGCAGCTCACCAGTGCAAAGAAATCCTTAGAATATCGCTGACAAACTGTACAACGGGCGTATCAACTCTGTCTTATGAGGCCTAGACAGAATAGTCAAATGAAACAAAATTTGTTCTGAAGATAACATAATAAAACACACATTATTAAAATGCACCCCAACAACCGATCATCCCTAAATTCCCATCAGGTATTTGAAGCCTAGAGCTAAAACTTCATTCTCTTTCTGCCTCTCTCTGTTCCCAGTGTTCTAGGAAGAAGCCGCGAGCACCAAGCACTTCACTGTATGTGGTTTAGGATGCGCTCATTCAGTGCCACAGGGCACGGGGCTTTCAGTAAGAGTGTGAGACTCGGAAAGAAGCCCGGGCTGGATCTGGGCACACACACGGACCCCTTCAGCTGGAAGCTGAGGGCACTTGAGAGAAGGCCACGCTGCGGGGCAGGTGGGCTGGGCGGGGGGTGGGGGGGAGGTTACCGAATTCCAAGTCTTTGATGTTGCAGTGGAAGACAACTTCTTCGTTCACCTTGAGCTCCACCACATTCCAGTCCTCCATCTTCTCTAGAGTGACCAGGTGTCCATCTGCAGCTAGCACAGCTGCAAGAGAGAGAAAGGGGTGTGGTGGCGGACAGACTGCCGATGGCCATGGCATGCAGATGTCCTCACGGTCACAGCAGCTGGTCTGCTCTCCAGTTACTCATGGCTGTAACTCCGCCGTCCCGGTGGGCACCTGCCTGGCGCTGGCCCCAGATGCCCTCGCCTTCTCTGAGAGGCATAGCCCTAGGCCTGAGCGTTTCAGGATCGGTTGTGATTTGATCCAGACCCACATGATTGTGAAAATATGAGCTTTTTCTAGGAAGAGCTTTTGAGTTTTTTATAGAGACAACACTCAGTGTTTCAGAGAATTTGTGAAATTAGGTAACTTCTTACCTTGCTGATGGAACCTGTCTGGGGGGCAATTTGACAGTACATGACAAAAACCTTAAAAGCCTCAAAAAATTAGAATTAAAAAATGATTCTAATCTCTGGCCAAGGAAATTGCACTTATAAGAAGTCTTCCTGAGGAAAATATCAGATTTTTGGCAACAAGATATTTCATTCTGTAGTTTTATAATAGCAAAATACTGTGAATAACTTACATGCCCAATACTATGAATTTTTAATTGCAAGAATATTTGTAATATAAGCAAAAATGAGCCTACAGATAAACTACATATTCCACATTAATTAAAATGTATATGTAATAGAAAAAAAATACCCAGTGATTATCTTTCTCTGGTGAGATTATGAGAAGTTTTTTTCTCTTTATTCTTTTATCATGTTTTCAGGTTAAAATCTTTTTAATAAAGCTAATGGACTAGACTCTTATTCTCACCTTACGTGGCGAAAAGCAGACAGTTATGTCAGCTAATTGTATTTAATCACAGAGACAATTGCTTTTTCAAAATGTTGGCATGCCCACTTCATCTTTCAATCAGTTCAAGAACAGCAAGCCCTGACTGTGAGCATTTTAATTGCGTGATTTTAATTTCACTTCTGGAAAGGAACTTCAGAAAGTAACTCAGCGAGGATCTCCATTAACAAGACAGCGCTCCGCGGGCACCCCGTGGCGGCCCTAATTGACTTTGTGTCAGCCAACCCCGTCTCTGCAGACACCGCATCGTTTTCTATGGCATATTTATGTTATTGTATCCTGGTGAAAGGTCTTGTTCTTACATTTCTTTGGAGGAAGGCACTCAGCTTGGACCCAGGACTGGTTTAAATGAAGCAGACCACCCGGTCTGGAATGGCCAGTGGGTCGTCTAGTAAGCATAGGTCTCTACAGGTTTCTGGGGATCATACCCTCTTGAGTGGGGGGAGGAAAAATGGGGGGTGTAGCTGGAGAGGGAAGGAAGAGCTCCCAGTGGGTAGATAGGAGGCAATTCAGCCTCTGTGACCTTGACTGTCCCTTTTCTGAAGATGTAGCTGGGAAGTGGAGTTCAACATGATAGAAAAATCGGGAACAAAACAGCTTCTCCGCTCCCTCTCCCACTCCCACCCCCCCTTCTGGGGCTAGGAGCTAAGGCCTGGGGTTTCGGGGAGGGGGCTGCAGGCTCTGGGGCTGGTCACAGCAAACACAGTGTAAGTGAGGAGGGCGCTGCAGGGGCGACCGGGGAAGCTGTGCCCCCTGCAGCTGCCATGGCCCTTTCCCTCGGGGCCCGCTGACCAAGCCTCGTGCAGCATGTGAGCTTGGGGTTTGTTTTATGAGAACAGCGCACTCTTCCTGGCAGGGTGCAGCTAAGACACTGGATTCGAACCATCAGATAGTCAAGCCACCCTATGGAAGTAGGGGTGCCGACTAATGGGGTCTAAGTGACTGAAGCCCAACAAGAAGAAATCCTAAGAGAGCAATAACTCCTAACTTTACCTTCTATATGGTCGCAAAGCACGCACTCTCGCGGCCTTTAAGGGCATGCCTCTCCCTCACTGACCACAGCACCCTCCTACCCCCTCCCCACCGCCCCCAGGTGCCTGGTGTTAATGAAACTCACGGAATAAACATGCTCACAATGGCGCTGGGCACCTCCAAGGACTGTTTTGGACCCTGAGTGACCCGAGTCTGACTTATTAAAGCGATAAGCCATCTGAGTCTAGGTCGTAAATTACTCTCAGGACACCCATCCCTTCTCCTCAGGCCAGGATGCGCTGAGCCCAGCGGGAGGGTGGCCAGTGCAGGCTTAAGGGATAAAACTTGAAGCAGCACCAGATTCCTGCAGCTCATGCAAATGCCAACTTCTCTACATGGAGGACGCATTTGTTCTGTGAACTGCCATGGGTTGTCTATTCAAAGAAAGGTCAGATAAATATACTCCATGCAACAAAGTCTCTGCAAAGGCAGTGGCGAACCTCCAGCATAAATCAGCCAGAAGCTGTAAGGCCGCCTGCAGAATGCCTGGTTCTTTGAAGTGGCACCTCATTCTTCAAGTGGGATCTGGGTAACGGAAGGGACACGAAAAGCCCCCCTCTTCTCGGTGCTGGGGGAGTGTGCACCATCTGTGAATGATTTAAACACGCTGGTTAGGAAGTCAAGGCAAACAGACGACAGGCCTGTCCCCCTTCTCTACTTGTGCAGATGCAATGCTGATGAGCGTAGTGTGTGTAGCTAATGCAGGGGGGGGGGGGGGGGGCGGTGGATGTCACACAGCATCCTAACTGAATAAGGCAGACTCTGGTTTGTATGGGACAGTTTCACTTCCTTCTAGTTCCCTTCAGCGGGTCACTTGGCAAACTTAAGTACCCAGGCAAGGAGCAACATGGCCAGGGGACTTACTTAGAACTTTTCGTTAAGCATTAGTTAGTTTAGTTTCATCAGGATTGAAGCCACAGTGCAGACATTTTTGCTGAGCTATTATAATAAAGAAAGAACAAAAAGGTTCAGATTGCTTAAGGCATAGTAAGTTCAGGAAAGATCAAATGTATTACCAAAGCCAGCAGGCTTCAGGAAATGATAAAGAGCTATGATTTTTAAAGGAACACACAGAAGTCAGATGCAGGCTTTACAGAAGGGGGTCTGCAAGTGCACCGCTCTGTGCCTGCTCTGGTGTTAGCGTTGAGGCTACGGTGGTCGGGGAGGGTGGGCCCGGGAGGGAGGAGGAGCAGATGCTGCCTGCCTGGCTTCAGTTGGCACTCTGGCATGTGTCACTGGCCCTCAGTGAATGTTGGCTGCCAGTATAATACGAATCATCATTCAGGAATATACAAAGCTAACTTTAAAAATCAACCACCTGCTGATACCTTGCAATACTTAAGTCTCCTTCAACCATAAAAACTCTTCCCTTGATCTTCTCAGAACACTCCTCTGCTCCCCTGCTGGCGGACAAGCTGCCTGTGCCCTCTGCTTCCTCTGCCCGCTCTGACCCTGTGCTCTCGGTGAAGAACCGCCCGCACAGTCAGGGGCTCGCCCTGTCTCTCCTACCCCTCAGGAGATGAACGCTCAGACCCATCTCCGTTATTGCTTTAAAATATTTTTTTTGAAAAATACTTTACTTGATTGTCTACACACACCCTTTCCAGCATCACATGTAGTCGCTAGTAGGCTTTTCAGTGGTAAGAGCCTGTGTTCAGGTGAACCTTTGGGTTTCTAACCTCCTCATCTGCACCCCAGGTTTTCTCAGCGATGTTTTTGAGCTGCAGCTGTTGGCCTTTGGTTGCATTCTTTATTGTGCATGCGGATGTGCACTGATGGCCGGGACTTCTTAACAGCTGGTTTTTTTGGGCAGTATTAGGAAAAAAATGTCACTCAAGGGATACCCGCTAGAATTCTAATAGGGCCAAGTCATGTTGGGATCTAAAGGCTTGTTAATGATGGGGAGTGCCTACATGAAATTAGTGAGAAATGAGGTTTGCTTTCTCTTAGGAAAGCAGCAGCTTTGTAGCCTAATACGTGTTTTTCATGTGAATCCTGACAGTTTACTAAATAGCTGGTTATGGAGAAGGTGGGCAGGTAATATTTCTCCAGAAATGGTTCCTACCTTGTACATTATTTGGTTTCTTTTATTTACCTGCTTGAATACTTGAATAAACCACTCTTCAGTTTTAATCCTTTTATTTTAATCCTCTTAGATAATAAATTTGAACTGACAAATTGCACAGAAGCTCTTTGGCGTTAATCTAATTTAGTGACATGATAAAAACAAAAACAAGGCTTCCCTTTACTTTGACAAAGTAATGTAATTTACCTTATTTATCTGTATGAAATTCCAGCAGTTAATTTGAACACTTATTTATTTGATGTTTGTATTCTTAGGTCTCTAATACAGTGTTTCTACCCCTCATTTGTAATTGCATGCATTATTCTTGAAACTAGGTAAAATTCACTGAATTGTTGTATAATAAATAGCCTTTTTATTATTGCCTGTAAAAAATAAGATAAAATAAAATACTTTTACGCTAAAATTCTACAGGTTATGATGCAGACCCATGACTTAAAAAACCCTTGCTAGTATAGAAATGGACAAAAATTTTAAATTATACATAATTCTTCCACCTCCTGCCCTTTGTCTTTTTTCACTAGAGGTGGGATCGCAATGCATACGGGATTCAGGAACATACTTTATGCCTTGAACACTGTGGTGTGGTGATCCAGTCCTGCCAACATACATAGATCAGCTACACTGCATGTCATGTGACAAATGTACTGCAATTTATTCAGCCATTCTTTTTTCTGATTGTTTCCTATTTTTCAGTCAAGAAATCGAGAAATATAAAGGAAGAGGATGCCTCCATGTACATGTGCAAGTTTGTGTGTGTGTGTGTGTGTGTGTGTGTGTGTGTGTGTGTGTGTGTAAAATTGAGAAATGGCATAGGTGGATTCCACAATATATGTTAAATTTTAAGATACTGCCGAATTGCCCTCCAGTTTACCCTCCCTCCTCAAGTCTTTGAGAACACATTTTCCCCAGGTCCTTCATCAGCTATGAATTCATCTTTTTCTAAAGATAATTCCTACTTAACAGTTTGGTGCCCATTGGCCATTTTCTTCTTGCAATTCTCATCTCATTTGCCTCCTGTGCCTCCAGGTTCTCTCCTACATCAGCACCCACCTGAGGGACCACTCT